GCTAGATACAAACTCGAGATCACCATGATAATTTGGCGGGCCAACTTATTAACCTACCTATTTATTAAATTTTTTTGGTAATAAATGTTAGCTTGCCTATTGTTTTATGCTAAGAGAATCACATAAAGTATATTCACATGAGATTTTTTTTTTGACCAGAGATATTCACATGAGATTTGAGACTACTTAAGCACGACAAACTTATATTAGTGTCACCAACGTAACAAGCGCGTGTTCAAACTAATAGGGAGTTTGTCTAAACCAACGGTATCATGTTTGATCTCTAGAGATGCAATTGTATGTCCCAGAGGTGCTAAAACTTGTTGGGAGAGTTTGTTGTGCACTTAGAGTCCTACATAACTCAATTCGAATCAATCAATTGTTTTGGCAATTGAAAAAAGAAGTGCACTAGAAGCAAATGGTTGTCACTAAAAACAGCTTGGTAAAGTTGAAACTTGAAAAGGAGTATTGTGGTAAATTTATTTCTGTAACTTGTCTAATAATTATCCAAGGACACGATTCAAAAAAAAAAAATCTTTGTAAAAATTGACTTTTTTTTTTGGGAAAAAATATTCTTAAAATGTTTAGCTTGAACAATGTGATTTATCTCATGACTTTTATTTGAGACATATTTGTTAAGAAGGAAGAGAGATATAAGATAAAAAGAAAATTATATTAAGAAATGGTAATAAAAGCGGGCTATTCTATCACAACTTGCATATTAGGTAGTGCGGGCTAGCAAAATGTCAACCCTCGCTCACCACCACCAACCCGTGAATCCAATTCCTATTATCCATATAATGTTGGGTTAGATTAAGCTATGCAATGTTTTGGTTCGATATTCCTATATGCTGACTAGTCAAGTGTAGAAGTTTTTTCTTCCAATTTTGGCCTTGCCTGCCTAGCTCAACCCGAAATGATTAGGCAACCTCAAACCAAGTGTAGGCTATTTCTCTAGATGAGCTGGTGGCATGAAGGAATAAGCAAAGCAAAATTTTTACTATATTGAAAAGCCTAAAAAATAAAAATGCTTTTAATATTCTGCTGATGACCACATAGTTTAATTTCTCCTGATATGTCGTGGGAAATACTGAATAGTGAACCTTTTCCAAATAGGTTGTTATATACAAAAGGCATGGGATTTGAACATCCAACAACTACTTGCTTAATTAAACAATGAGAGCTATTGGCTCTCACACCGGCCTGAATTGATTCTATTGACTTTATTTATATGCTATCTCATTTGGGAGAATTCCAATCAAATGTCCAAAACAAAAAATTACTAAAAGGTTCTAATAACAACTTAAACAACCTGTAATGACAAATTTTAAAGTGAAAGACAACTTTTAAGACTTATTTTGTAATTTTCTTCCTTTCTTAGAATCGTAATGTAATTCTTCCATCTCATTTTTTTTCTTAGGAGCTGTTTGGTACATTGAATGTCAAAAAAAAGGAAAGGGAAGGAAATTAATCCATTTGGTTGCATTATTTTTCTCTCATCTAAAACGAGCTTCTTGCATATCCAAGAGAGAAAGGAAATTAAAGGATGAAGGTTGAAATGCCCCTATCCATCTAGTAATGTGAAACTTCTTTGCTATGGTTTCAATCTCTTCTATTCTCCAACAATTATCTTGCTAATACAGCCACCTGGCTTTAGAGCTCATTCATGTATCCAACTGGCAATGAAAATGTTTGCTTCTGTTCTATTTTTATCGTTGTTTTCTTAACTGGGAAAGCAACAAAATCAAATAACACACGCACCCAAACACATGCATATCTCGTGTACTCATTTGTTTATATGTATAAGTTTTAGTAAAATGAATTTTAACCATTTAAATTAAAAAAATTATTCAAAAGAAGTTATTTCAATTAAATTTAATAATACTTGATTTTGAGCTATTAAAAAAGATAAGGAGGCATGGGTATTTTGGTCATAAAAAATCAATCTCATGATTGATTTTACAGTATAACATCATGGGGACCAGGAATATGTACACAACATTGCACAATCCTGAGCATTAATTAATGTGTCGTACTGAGCATGTTAAAATGATACGCGTTGCTAACCTCCCATGCGTCATATCAAATAACAAGGCCATAGGTTTTATACTTTTATTCTTGTCTCACTTCTTCTCTTTGGAGCTGTTGGGCATGTTGAATCTCAAAAGAGGAGAGAGCAAATAACAGAAAAATTAGTTAAGTTGCATTACCTTCCTTCCTTATGGAAAACGTGCTGCTTGCATCCAAGGGGGGAAAAATTGGAAAGGATAAGGGTTGAGAAGCCCATATCCATTTAATATATGAAACTTCTTGAACTAATATAATATTTAGTACTTACCGTTTGTTTTCATTTTAATTTTAATTTATATAGTTTTAAATTATAAATTTTGATTCCTTAAGTCTTGTTATTAGTATCTATATATTTTAATGAGGATTTGAATCATTTTGCCATTTAAAAAAATCAAAATCCGTGATTTAAAATTATAGAGACAAACAAAACAAAATAAATGCAAACTATGTAAAAATCAAATATTATATTAAACCAAACTTCTTTATTGTGATTTCAATCTTCTACTATGTCTTGTCGTCTCCACTGATTATCTTGCTGTTAAGGCCATCTAACTTTACAGCTCAACTCGTATTTCCAGCTGGCAATGTCTGGCAATGTCGATAGTGTTTACTTCTATTCTATTTTTAGCGCTACCGCTTCAACTTGGAAAGCGGCAAAAACAAACATGCATGCATGCAAACATATCTTGTATCCTCATTATTTATTGATAAGAAAACTATTTTTGACTAATATGTGGTTTTAGTAGACAAGGTGATAATGCCCTAAAGATGGTAAAAGGTCTAAAATTTGAATTTACTTGGATATAGAAAATGTTTTGAAAAAATTGTTTTTATTAAACTTGATAGTACTTGAACTTGAGCTGCAAAAAAGAAAAGAAAGACAATTTACCGACTTGAATGTAAGAAGCAAGAAGCATCCTCGTATTGAACAAATAAGGGCAGACACACACATATTGAGTACTCATATTCTTAATAATCTATATATTTAGTCAAGAAACAAAAATGGAACTCACTATATTTTGTTATATTTTACTAATAGTTATAGTTAAAAAAATATTATTTTCACATTTAGTAATCGTGATAATTATAATAGTTAACAAATCATTTCATTAGTTTTCTTAATATCAAAGTTATTACAGTCATTGACTAGTTATTCTTTTTTATCAAACCAGCCATCTCATCTTACCAAATATAAATTCAACTATCCAATTATTTTCTATTTATTGGGGACTAAATAATTATTATTTCCTCCCTTTTCTTTACGTTCATTTTTATTAAAATACATTAGTCCCCCCAGAGGCACATTCATGCTAAAGCTTTTTTTACTACCTTATCAGATACACTAGTATAACCTGGCTTTATAAAATAGGTTGATGAATGATAATAACTTCCTTACAAAAAAAAAGGTTGATTTTTCAAGCGAACTTGAGAGTGATTTTAGTGATGCTAAGGGTGTGTTTGTACAAGGGAAATGGAGGAGAACGAAGGAAAGAAAAAATTTGAATGAGATTGTTTTAAAAAATTAGAAAAATATGATTATAAACTTTTAATAAAAAATATAATATAAAAGAGTAAGAAAAATTAAATAAAAAAAATTTTAATCCAACTTTTTCAAAATTTTAAAATCAGCTCATTAAAATTTTTCTTCTTCTCCCCTCACCTCTATTTTCTCATACCAAATGAAACTTAAAAGATATTTTGGATGCTCTTCAAATCAATTAAAACAATATTTTCACGTAACTCAAAATTTTTTATATATATTTATTTCATATCCTATAAAATTACCTATAAAAAAAGATTAATCTAAAAGATAAAGGAGAATGGAGTAATGTGATTATTATAGAAATAAAAGTTTAATCTCACGATTCACGAGACATCTCCCCAGGTCTCTCAAACTAGAATCAAAAGTAATGGGGTCCCACTTTGAATGATGGCACGTGAGTCTCTCTCATCATCATGAGGCGATGATCAGGCGCGTCGCAACTAGGCGCGTGAACTCATTAGTCAACAGTCAACGATTGAAAAAGCCGATTTCTCTCAACCGAACATCATAAAAAACAATCAGCCTTCCCTTTAACCGTGCTTCCTCCTTTCGTTCCTGTTTTAAATTGACCGTGTCAGGAAATAAATAAATAAATAAATAAATAAAAGTTGGCCTTCAAAAATATAGTAAACACTACAAATTATAAATTGTTCACGAGAAATTATTCTAAATTAGAGCTCTCTGTATCTAATATAAGACTTTTTTAATTTCCTATAATTTCACATCTTTAATGTTATTTCTCCTAAAAAAGTACTAATTTAAAAGTCTAAGAAAAGTGATTTTTAATTTATACCACAAAATATAAAAGCTAGTGAAATAATTTAAATAGATTAAAAAATTTGTTAAATTAGTTATTTATAATAAATTTATATCGCCTTTTATAGAATATTCTTGTTGATTATATGTATTCCTTAGAATTAATATTTTATAAAATTTTTAATATACGCAACTATTATAAAGACTACTTACTCCGATATTGAGAATTGTGATGATACTTTTCACATTTCAAATCAGAAAAGTGTTCTTAATTTTTCTAAAAATGCTTTATGTACTAAATATGACGGAGAGTGTAGACCTTGTAAAATTCTTTATTGCAAAATATCTACATAATTTATCAAAAAATTTAAAATATTAAGTTAAATCAGAAATATATTTTATATGCTCGCATCTTTTATTTTTACAGTAAAATATTATTTTGTTGTACTCACTAGCCCACAAGCCAACAGGCAATGACAGTGGCCAGTGGGTAAATAATGAACTAAACCATGGTTAAAAACAAAGCCGGAAGCACAGTGAGGTAGGCTTTAAGCCTAGGAATAGCCATTTATGTCATCATTGAGCCAATTTCCCAACTCTGACACAAGTCATCATTATCACTCTCTCTTTCTCTTTCATTCTCTCTCTGCCTCTGCCTTCTGTATATATATCTACATATTGTGCCTGTCCTCCATACTTTTACTGTTCTGCAAAAAGCAAAAGAAAGGCTGTGACACCTCCCCACTGCCCCTCTCTCTCCCTTTACTCCGTTTTGCTTTCACCCCAGAAAATTTTTCGGACTCTTCACTCTGTTTGGTTTCCCGGAAAGTGCCTCTGGTTTTTTTCTCTCGCTTTCTCAGAGAAAATGGCGGAGAAAGACGATGGGTTGGGCTTGGGTTTGAGTCTGAGCTTGGGACTGGGAATGAATCCGTCTCAGAGTCTCATGCAGAAGCCTTCTCGGACTCTTCCGAATCAAAGAGCTTCCTGGAACGATATTTTCCAGCTTCCTGGTAAGATTCTTCTCCTTCTTTCTTGATTTTTCTTTTTGTTCATTCACTTTCTTTGAAACTTCTGGATTGATACATGCAAATCATGCAATAAAAAACCCAGGATTTTCTGCAGTTTTCGATTTCAGATCCATCTTCTGTTGTAGTTTTGTGAATCTTTGGCCCAGAAAAAAATGTTGAAAAGTTCTTTACAATCACAAAGGCAAAACCTTTTTTTTGTTTGTTTGTTTGTTTTCATTTTGATTTCCGAATCGTGAGGGTCCTTTTTAATTACTTGAATGCCATTGGTTTGGAGGACGTGTCTTGGGTCGAGTCCTTATCTCAGATGTGTGACACGTGGCAGATCGGAGCTGCGAGGCGAGAACGTTGCTCCGGGGAGTGGATGTAAATTTGGCGCCGCCGTCAACGGTTGTGGACTGTGACGATGAAAATGGCGTCTCCTCACCGAACAGTACTGTGTCGAGCATCAGCGGAAAGCGGAGCGAGAGAGAGTCTATTGGCGGAGAGCATGAAGCCGAGCGTGCCTCATGTTCTCGAGGAAGCGACGATGATGAAGGCGGCGGCGACGGAGGCGGCAGAGACGGAGACGGAGACGGCGACGGCGACGGAGATACTTCCAGAAAAAAGCTCCGGCTGTCGAAGGAACAATCGATTGTGCTGGAGGAAACGTTCAAGGAGCACAATACCCTCAATCCGGTAAGCGCCAGTGGCACTTCTGTAGATTCATTGACGAGTAAGGGTATAGTTGGGATTTCAGGACGGTGGTAAATTAGTAATTTTAACATCTGTCTTTGCCCCCGTTTGGTTATTATTATCTTCAGAAGCAAAAACAGGAATTGGCAAAACGGCTGAATCTGAGGCCAAGACAAGTGGAAGTGTGGTTTCAGAACAGGAGGGCAAGGTGAGGTCATAACAATTACTTCTCAGGCCCAATACTGACAATTTGCATCTATGAACTTGAATTAATATTTTTTTTTTGAATGAATTAAATTATCGGATTGTTAACTTATCAAGTTTAAATATAAATAACTCTGGGGTTTGACTTGTCCTGTTTTATGTAACATATCCTCTGTAATAAATACTTTAAATGTCATTCATGAATATTGGTAATGCTATTGCCATTCTTCAAACTGTTGAAAAGCAATGAAGAAAACCAAAGCATAACCCCAAAATTAATTATTCTTTTGTAGAATGAATTATGGTTTTGAAACTTCAAAATAGGAGTCAATGACCCAATGATCAAACATGAAAATGGAGTTTATGATAATTAATTTCATGAGAAAACAGAACACAATGAGTACTACCTAGAGAAACCAATTGGCCAATAATAATAATGTGACAATTATTGCTGATGATCTTAATCATTCCTTGGCCTTGATTATCTTATAATATTTGAAGTATGAGTTTGAAAAAAGTGCATCTTTTTCAATGTTAAATCTAAGTCTATTGTTTTGCTATGTTGTTGTTTGGTTGATTGTGATATGTAAGAAAGAGGAATGAATGCTTTGTTTTGTGGTTTTCTTGAATAAATTGAAGGACCAAGTTGAAGCAAACTGAAGTGGATTGTGAGTACTTGAGGAGATGTTGTGAGACTTTGACTGAAGAGAATAGGAGGTTGCAAAAGGAAGTGCAAGAACTGAGGGCATTAAAGCTATCCCCACAGTTCTACATGCACATGAACCCTCCAACCACTCTTACAATGTGCCCTTCTTGTGAGCGCGTCGCGGTCTCATCCACATCCTCCTCCTCATCAGCAGCGGCAGCCGTGTCGTCCAACTCAGCCCCATTGAGCTCTACCATTCAAAGGCCGGTGCCCCTCCTCCCCTGGGCGGCTAACTCGAATCGAAACCGCCCGGGTGACAGCTTAAATCCCCGGCCATGAACCCTTCTCTTGTGTTCAAGCTCATGGCAGCTCCCTAATGTAGAAGACAAGGTCATTTTTAGTTACTAGAGAGGCATGGATCAATGTGTTGAAAGAAAAGGTATGGAAAAAGGATACTAAGGCAGTTAGAATGATTTTGAGTCCTCTATGGTCTTAAGTAATGTAGTTAAGAGAGGAACATGGGAAAATATGTATGGAGCTTATTATTTCTTTCTATGTATACCTTTTCTTTCCCCACCTTCATTTCTTGCTTTTATAATAGTATATGTAGTTGGTTATTGAATGAGACGGTTTGTTAACAATATATCCGAATATTTAATTGTTGATGTAACATAATGATGCCGTGCAATTCATTTAGTTGTATTTGCTAGAATAAGGTTTGTTTTTTTTTTTTGGGTGTTAAAACGTATCTTTTTATTGAAGGTAATCTTGTCTGATGTATTTTTGGGTACTAGATGTGGATACTTTTTTTTTAATGAGATTCAGGTTTTGGTTCATCACGTTATGAGGAATTTGCTATTTATTATCTACCAGAGAATGAATCAAGTTGTGAGGGGTTTGTATTTGTTTTTTGTGTTTTTGTTAAAGTATATGTATCCTTCTATTGGAGATAATTCTATTTGAGATATTATTGGGTACTAAATATAGGCACTTGTCTTTACGGGGGTTTGAATTTTGATTCGTTATGTTGTAAAAGACTAGTTTTTTTTGTTAGATCCAATTTCTGTTGGTGTTTGTATTTATAATTTACTAATGAGAATTTTTTTTTGTTGCCCACTCAGTTTATCGGAGTTTTGCTTTGATTATATCTAGATCCGACCTGTGTTGCGCACTTGGTTATAGTGTGTGAGTCTTCCAATAGGGATTTTTGCATACATTGAGGCTCGAACTCGAGACTTCGTTTAAGCAGTACCAAGCCGCTTACTACTTGAACCAACCCCGTTAGTTACCAATGAGAATTGAGTATAGGAGGAGGTTGCATAGCGATTGGGTATGTGACTTTTTGTTGAGCTCTCTTTCAAGTGAGGGCTTACTTCATGATGGGCCAGGAACAAGTTCTAGTCAACTTTAGTGAGAGTGAAAGGAGTAGAAAAGAAAATGATGTTAGATATGTTTACTAGTGGTTTTGACTTTGATGAAGATGACAAGAGAGAATCCAAATCTGATCAAATTCTCTCACATCAGATTGTGATTCCATTTACTAAAGTGAATAGCATAAAAAGTGGACTTCTTGAAACATCGCTTTAATAAATTATTTCCATTATTGCGCCATTGATGGATTTGGATTTTTCTTTTCTTTTTTCTTTTAGAAAATGATTGTGATGTCATGTAATATAGTTTCTCTGTTTCTTTCTTTCTTTACTCTTCTCTTGTAATTCAGTTTTTGAGTCGTTTGAATTAAATATCGATGATAGACTATCTCCTGTCCTTAATATAAGACTTTGTTTGATTTTATTTTGGTTTTGAATATAAGACTTCAATCCACCTAGTCTCTCATATTTATACATTTTTTTAAAGGCGGTCATTCTAATAATTGTAGTTCTAACCAATATATTTGATTAGTAAGAATATTTAAGGAAAAACAACACTATTTATTACAAATAATTAAGTCAACTTATTTTTTTAATCTTCTCAAATTAGTCAACTGGCTCTTATAATTAGGATTGGAGGTAGTATTTTGATAATTCAATCATTAATTTTTTCAAAACAGATTGTGTTGTGGACTTTTCATCCATGTATTTTATTGCATGCTTAACAAAAATTATGGTGGTATAGATTTAATTTAAATCGACCCGAACTAATGGAGAAGAAAAAAATGAATATAATATTTTTTTTGTATTTATATATTTTAAAAAAATAGAGATTATATTTTTGTGAAAAAATTACATTTATTTTATTTGGTAGATGTCATATCTTAGTTTCACTAAGCTCTCAGAATCCAACTCATTTAAATTTTTATGTATAAGAACATAAAAACATCAAGGAATATTCATATGTGAAATGGCATAGATAACTATTCTCAATTGATTTTGACAATGCTCAAATTTAACTTAGTCAAATAGTTATAAAAAAATAAAGTGCTAAATATTTATGATTTTAAAAGCAAGAAAAGTTATTAATTTGCTTAAATTCATGAATAGAACTGTGTCTACTTTTTGTGATGATTCTCTTTAAACTGTATAGATTACGAATTAAGCAGCACGTGAGCGTGATAATTGGAAAAGAACGATTAGTGGAGAGCCCACTAATCTCATCTCACCCATCAAATTTGGATGCTTGCTTGTGCCTTTTAAAGCTAAAAAGTTCTACGTTTTTTTTTTTGTTTTGTTTTGACCGAAAGCAAGAAAAGTTTCAGTGAATTTAAAAAGTGCCCACAGACTGATGAATTTGATGTTCATGATTGAATTTTAGATTTTTGTTGTTCAAGCTTGATTTTCTAGGAAGAGGGGGGAAATTATCTGCAGACATACTTAGAAATTATTTTTGAGAGCAAAAACATACTTAGAAATTACTTGCTAGCGAAATTTTCACATTGATAATAAGACTCAAAAGGAGACTCAATTTAGCCAATACATAAAGACGCACATATTAAAAGTTTTAAGAATATTGATGAATTTTATAGTTACTTTTAATTAATTCTTAATATTATATGAATATAATAAATAATTATTAAGCATTCATAATTTTTTTAAAGGAAATACTTTTTTAACATCATATTCCTTCCAGTCCTAAAAATAAGACCCTTTTTGTAGTGTAATTTACACTACAAAAAGGGTCTTATATTTAGGACCGGAGGGAGTATTATTGATAAAAAACATCATTTTACATAAAAGTAATGACATTTTTTTTAATAAATAAAATTAATTTTTTTATTTTCTAAATATAAGCTCTTAATTCTCTTTGTCTTTCAAATTTATAGTTGTTTTTCCAAAATATTTCTATTGATTATATATGTTAAGGGATTTCCACCCAAAGCAATTCCAATATATATGATTAAAAAGAATATTTTAAAAAAGATAATATATATTTATTGTAAATAACTTAACTAATTTTTTTAATACCTACAAATTAGTTATCTAGTGCTTATGTAATGTTTACATTAGATCAAGAATTGGCCAAGCTTGGGCATTGTGCAGCACACACATAAGGGGTGTGCATGACCCTCGTCTAATCTGCCTAGCAAGCTCAGAAGAATGAATCCCTCAAGGGTCCAGCCGATAACAACCTTTTCTTCGGCTGGTCCTAAACAAACAACCAATGACATGTACAAGCTGTACAGCCATAAAGTGGAAGACCATGCCCATGGCACATGCACGTTGGTCCATGATTTCTCCACCAGAAGATAGGCTTATATGTTCTCAGGAGCAGCCCTTCTTTAGAGAGAACCACTTTCAGGGATAGTATTCATATGGTAAATTTGGTTTCATGCTGAAGACCATCAAAATCATATGTAACCACCTGCTTCTATTAAAACTACGGTCTTGATAAATTCTAGCGTGAGACCAGATACACACTACGCCCCCGTTTCAAAGACACAGAGGATGGCTAAGAACATTAGACTTGATGGAGACAGCCTTGATTAGAGACATGCTTTTTAGGAATAAAAGACTGTCTGTTGGGGACGTTCCTTTCCCCTCAGATGTTGTCTGTAATGTCCGCCGTTGAATGGAGTCTGGCCATGTAATTTGAGTCACCTGCCTCTTTGGTGCTCATTTTTCTGGTCCTTACCGGCACTCCACCGCTGTATCGCATTTCTCATTGAATAAAGTCCCCTTTTCATCAAAACCATTCTTGTTCATCTTCAACTTCGTATTCGTCTTCTATAAATTTCAACATATTTCTAATTTGAAACGTAAAGTGCATGATAGGGATAGTGTTTCAACTATCAAATTATTAAAATAAAAACAGAGATACTTTAGATTAAGGAAATATTTATTCGTCTTAAATCCAGATATACAGAGTTCATCATTCATCGAATTGATTTTCATCTTATAACAAAAAGGGTGTAAGAATCTTGAACGCCAACCAATCAGGGAAATGAAACCCCCCACATTACAAAGATGAGCCACCCACAAGCTTTTTAAAAGCCACATTCATTCAGAGGGAAGATAATTGTGGCCACTGCCATGTACAATCTAAGCAGTAACTGTACCAAGAAATATTTTTACAGTTCACGTTCCTACCAGAATCAATCATTATTGATTTACAGCACTTATTTTTGACAGAAAACGATATGCTTTTTCTATACAAGAACTGACCACAAGCAACTGTGATGGTATATAAGAGATCAGTGACTCACCAAGTAAACGGTCTTACTGGCCTTGGAATCATATTCAACTGAACTTATCTTTTTTGACCCGATGAAGTGAACTCACCAAGCTTCTTCCTCTGGTATGCGATCATAAATGATAGTCTCTTTACCATTTGGATCAGCATGATATTGGCCATATATTGCATAAACACCAACCATAACAACACTAAGAACGACAAATCTCACCCATGCTTCATGATGTAACTGTAGAAAGGATGTATTTGTCATCGCTTTTGACATATAAATCCATCAACATCAAATTTTTCATAGATATTACTTCATCACAGTTCCAAAGAGAGGTTGCAAACATACCTGTGCAAATAAGAACATGTTGAAGAAGATGCAAATAGCCGGCAGGAAGGGAACCCAAGGGCAAGAAAACCCTGGTGCTTCGTCATAAACCTGTTGTGGCCAAGCAGAATTTATACGATATCAAAACTGCCACAATCATGAAATCATCAAGCAAGAGATTAACAGTGTTCCTGGACTCATGAGACAGCATCAACCCTTTGAAAAGCTGACATATTTAGATCAGATTGCCTTTGTTGAACAAGGCAGGGAAGGAAAACAATAGAACAATTCGAGATGGTTTCCTTCTAAAGGACAAGATCCAATTATAATATCAAAGAATTTAGCTACATCTTTCTATCACCAATTATTCAGAACTAATTATTAGGCGCATGAAAGCGAGGGTCCAGCTAATAAAGTTATTTATCTATATAAAGTAGTTCTAGTGGATGTTGGTCTTTAGCTCTAATTTATGCAAAATTATATCAACAAATTCAGTAGTTTTTAGAATGACATAATACACTGCATGAGAATCTGGCTAAACCTAGACAGAAATAAGTTTTAAGCCAGTTTATTTGCATAAATCAACACCATTCCCAGAAACTGATTATCAGATATATTCTCATCCATATTTCAACTGTAGATTCATCTTATACTCAACCTTATCCTTGATGCAATAGCTTTGATGTATCCCAAGCAAGAGGCAATAATATATTGCAGTGTTCCTTAAGGGGGGAAAAAAATGATAGTTACCTGCCGGAACCAGAGAGCAGCAGAAGCAGCGATTGCAACGACTAGGAGGATAATCAGAAAAATAATTGACACATCATAGCGGTATAAGATCCCAGCACCAAATCCACAAATAGCAACAGCAATTAGGCAAATGACTCCTTCCCTCCAAGATGAGACTTGACTGGCTGTCTTACCTCTCCAGCGAAGAGCTACTACACATGCTGAGACAGCTGAATAGCCAGTCTGAAACAAGAAAAATAACATGTAAACAAGACTATTTACAAACAAAGTCCAGTAGTATCTCTGTATAAAACAAAACTTGGCTGTATTAGAAAGTTCTGAGAACCTTAATCAGAAAATGCAATGAAATGCATTGAAAATCTTGAATTAAAGTACCCAATGTCGCACCATGAAAGAAACACCCCCACTGATCTAGAACCCATCTTCCTTTGATAAGTCATAGACAACATGCGGAGAAGAAACTAAATATATATAGAGATTAGTTGACAGCTTTAATGCCATGAATTGGTATAGGCTCTTACCAATGTACCGACAGAAAGAATGTGTGAGAGCACATGCACGTTGAATAGTCCAGCCAAAACACTAGCAATGGCACCAACCCAGACCTGAGAATGAACAGGAGTGTGGTGCTTGGAGTTTACTTTAGCAAATATTGAAGGCAGTAGACCATCCCTTCCCAGCCCAAGATATAACCGAGACTGCTCATGAGAAACATCCCATTAGCCCATGGTACATGAACTAGGCACATGAAATATCATAAGTTCTCAAGTGTTTAACCTGGACATAAAGACCAACTAGGAGTGTTGTTGTAAGTCCAGCTACAGCACCTATGCTAATCAGAATGGAAACATACTTTAAACCCTTTGATGTAAAAGCTTCAGCCAATGGAGCATCTTCCCCGATAAACTTGTATGGAACCATTCCAGTAATCACTAAACAAACTCCAACGTACAATAAGATACAAACTAACAGGCTTGTGATGATGCCAATTGGCAAATCTCGCTGAAATATTAGAAATAAGAGAAGTAATAGTTAGAAGGTGAATGTATTGATGGGAAGTACCAATGCTATATGTGTATCAGAAAAGAAATACAGTATCCAGCTTTTTAATAAAGCAGTGGAGTGATGTCAACATATCATACCTGTGGTCTTTTAGATTCCTCAGCAGAATTGGCAACTGCATCAAATCCAACATATGCAAAGAATACTACAGTAGCTCCCGTAAATATGCTTTTGACACCATAAGGAGCAAAGGGAGACCAATTGGAAACATCAACCTCAAAAGCTCCAGCAAATATGACAAAGATAACAATGACTACCTGCAACAAATAGCAGAATAGCTATATTTCTGTCTTGGTAAAGAGGTTCTTAATATCAGATAGATTAGTGGTAACTTGTAGGAACGAAAGGAACCTTTGTCACAGTCATAAAAGAATTTACGGCCGATGATTCTCCAACACCCCAACAGAGAATTATAGTCAGAAGTATTAGGAGAATTGGAGCTAAGAGGTTGATTGATAGAACTCCTCCAATGTCTTGACCACGTCCGAACCAAAAGGGAATGTTTTCTTTGAAAACAGGAAAGATCTCAAGAATTGTTATTACATAATTTGCTAAGCTTCTTGCTATGCTGGCTGCCCCAAGATGATAGTCAAGCATTAATTGTGCAAAAACAAGAAAAGCAGTGATTTCATTGAAAGCCGTATATGCATACAGGTATGCCCCTCCAACAACAGCAGGAAAACGAGAAGCTAGTTCAGCATAACAGAGTGCATTGATGACACATGATGCTCCAGCAAGTATAAAACTAATTGTTACTCCTGCATTCAAGAAACAAACCACAAATAAGCCACCAAGTTCAGAATGGCAAGTTGAATGCACAATGAGCATTACACACCCTGACCGTTACTTTAAAACAGAAATAACAGGCAATGGCAGTACTCTACATCTGATTGCAGCATTCGACAATTAAGTTTCAGCTCAATAGAAATCAAAAGAGAGAGAAATGACAAGAAAGTGTACGAAACCTGAATAAACTGTTAGAATTGAGTGTAAATAGTAGGATGAATGGCATAATCCTTCGTACCTATTGAATAGTCTTTCCTTTATTACAGATAATAGATATAATACAACCTGAGCTTATCTATTTAAGCTTAACTGAGTACCCTCTCTTTCTACAGTAACATTGCAAGTTTGTTCCTTCCCAATATTTGCATGTATCTTTTAGATAGCCATATTTCTTATCGAAGAAAATTTGTAGGCATAAAGCTCCATATAATTGGGAATTATAAATTGGGAAAGCATAGAAATTGACAATTGGGAGCAAAAATCAAAAGATTTTGTCTCTGAAGACCTTTTTCAAAACATAGGTTCCGTCCTTAAATCTCAGACAACATCCTGTTTGGTCAAGGTTTTTGGTGAAAGAAGTTGCCTATTATTAAATAAAGTACCCATCCAATTTCTTCAGGTGCTTGGTCATATTATAGGGGAAAAAAACCTAATATAAGTGGAGGTAAAAATAGTTTTTCTGCTGTTGGTTGGAAGTGTAAAATTGGAGTTTTTCTTTGGAATGAGGCAGCAGCAGACCAGAAATCTTATAAGAAAGAAATAATCTTACTCAAAATCATTAACTATCCTTTTAGCCCTAAAAATTTTCTTATCTCGACTTTTTCCAGGTTCATTTCTGTTCTTACTCTAATATGCTGAAATTGATGAATTTCAACATTTATATCTTAAAATTTCATGTTACATGCGTGTCTTTAGATTAAAACGTTATATTCGCACACATATAGTGTTTTTTTTAATATTAAATGAATAAAAAATTATAAACTTTATAAAAATTAAACAAAATGAATATTTAAAATCACCAATTCATTTAAAAGATATTAATTGCAAACTCAGATCTGTACGTTCTATTTTTAGAAAATTTGACCATAAAAAGCAGTATGCATTGAAAAATATTTATCAAACGCAATAATATTGCTAAAAACGCTTGTTAAATGGATTATGCCAAACATAAGCAGAAGTCTAGAGTCATAGTAGCCCCAGATGAAACTGGCCCTGAATCCATATCATCCTCTGTAGATCCACACGACAATATTATTATTAGGAATGCCACAAAAATTAAGAAACATAACAATCGGCTTTAGAGAACAAAATCAAATGAATTGATCTTTTAAGGCATATCCTAGAGAAATACAGAAATATAGCTTCCTAATTGTCGGGTAAATAGTCCATACGATCAACAGAAGATCCATAATGTAAATTAGATTTCATCTCCTAAGTTTGTAAAGCAATTTCCAAGATAACGCCTAAAATTTTGCAGGTTGAAATGAAAATAAATAAATAAAGGGAGAGTAAAAATGAAACACAACAAAAAAGTGATCCTGTGAACTCTAGATATCACAATAAAATGCAAATGCAAAACTTAGAGGCTCTATCTTCATTCAATCCTTTTACTAAGAAAGCAAACAATGATTTTAACTTCTCAATTTTCAAACCTCATATTTCATCCGACCAACCAGACCGAAATCTTCTTGAGCTACGAACTAACCCTGAGCAAAAATTTTCTTTTGCACCATTGAAATTCTATTTCAACAACTCCATTCAGACAAAAAGGATAAAAACTGGCTAAAAATCGCGAATTTCTAAAAAGGAAAAGAAATAGCGGCCGCCAATTCAGCTGGAAATGGGAAGAATAATAGGGGCACGAACCTGGTCCGGTATCTCGAGCGACAGTGCCGGTGATGACGAAGATGCCAGCACCGATGGAGGCGCCAACTCCAATAAGGATGAGGTCAAGCACGCCAAGCCGGCGGGAAAGGCCCTGGCTAGAATTATCACGGGCAGCTTTCTCCGCCGGCGTGGCCAAGCGCTTGGCTCTAAGTGCCGACGACCAGAAGCGACTACAAAACGAAGAAGAAGAAGAGGAAGAAGAAATGACTCCGCCACTCTCATGGATTCCCATGGCTAACAACGGAGATCAGAATAGGAATAGGGATGGCAAGTCAAGATTGTTGAATACGGTCCATTATATGTTGGCTTTGGGGGTAATGCTGCATCTGATTTTCTGACGGGAAATCACAAATTCACAACGTAAATTTCAGATCTTCAGGACTTGCATATTTTGCCGGAAATTCTTAGAAATAGAGGGGACTCACACAAAAATTTAGTATAAAATAAAATAAAAAAATTTTAAAAGGAAAAATTATTGAAAATTTCATTTTGCAATATGTCTTTACTTGTATGTAAATGTCTTTCGTTTTACTCATAATTGAAAATAAGTTGCATATAATTAAAAAAACAAATACAGTTGCCTCAATCTTTAAATAAATTTAAGGTATCTTTTGAGCAATAAACTAATTAATGAGGATTTTTCAACAGTTTTCTCTCGCAAAGACTAAATACTCGATTGAATAGTAATAGGTAATAACAATAGCTATTATAATAATTTTTTTGTTATTGATATTCATTTCCCATACACATTTCACATATATATATTGTTGGATTAAATTTGAATAATTTATAGTTAATATCAAACAATTCATAATTATATTGGAAAGAAGAGTACAAAATTTACCATATAAAATCATAAATTTGAAGCGTTGGAATTTAAATAAATCCATGAACTCAAATAGAAAAATAGAGACAAAATGGAGGCTTGAAAATGTGGAGAGAAACAAAATCCACGTGTTTCCCTAAAGACTAGAAAATTAGAAATTAATCGGCTCTCCAGATGCGAAGGGTGATGAGATGTATTGAGATGCTTTATATGACATGATTCATAGGTGGTATGTATGGGCTAAGCTGCTTGAGCCTAAACCTTTTGATTGGGCCAAACAGGGCAATTTGTCTGGCCCACATAGGTTGGCTGGTAGGCTACTTTTTCTTTTCCGAAAATAGTTATCGCATCCGATATCTTAATACTGCCTCTGAGTCTTTAATATAAAATTTAGTTTGTAATTTGAATTATAAACTATATATTATATTAAGAATCAAAGATAGCAATTATGAATTTTAAATTTATTGAAAAAGTGGGTTGACCTATTATCTGTCCTTGGTGGGTGGGGTTGAGAAAATTCTGGTCTATAAAAAAAAAAAAGGGGCGGCCATATGTATTCGAGAAAATTAGTCCGAGGTTTTAGAGAAGAAAGATAATTACTAAAAAAATTCTAATGATAAGAGAACAGTTGAAACTTATTGTCATTTCTTTCTTTAGAACTTGTTATTATAAACTACTCAGTTGTTCTGGGACCATTTTGTAAAATTTTTTTTGAGATCTTATTGTAATTTTTCCTATATATTTGGACTTTTGATAGGATAGCTTGATTAGTCCAAATTGGGTCATATACATATAGATATATATATATATATATATATGGAACTTAAATGGAAAAATAATTATTCTAATTGTTTTACTAATAAATTGAAAGATTAAAATGAAAAAAACAAAAAAAGCTTGAAAATTGCTTTGTCTCAAATTGGGAATTCTTACAAAAATGTATTGCCATTTATAAGTCAAGTAGTCAAGTAGTATACTCAAAAGTTGTTAAGGCATAGGAAATAAACTTGATTTGAAATATAGTCATTTTTAGGATTTTTTGTCATTTCCCCATAAAAATACTCACATATATTAGATTTGAATGCATAGAAGATATACATGTTAGTACTCAATATCCTGAATGAATATTAAGTTTCAAATTGTGAGACAAAACTGGTAAGAATATATCCAAAACTACTTGCCAAATATAATTCCGTGTGCACATGGATATCTCCATGGATACACTCATATCTGAAAAGTCAAAAACCAAAACAAATGGCACTAAAGTAACCACTATACGTGGGGAGAAAAAAATTCCATCCATTGTCTTATCCATCCTTTCCAAAAACTCTCATTGAATGGCCTTGCTTAATCGAAAATTAAAAAAAAAAACAGCAACAAGAGAGAATTGTATTGGGGTAGGTGGGGATTTGGAGACTATTAAATTGAAGTTAATTGCATTAAAATAAATAAATTTCATTTATGCTTTCTCCAATTCTAAATATAGCATTTTTAATTTAATTATTTTCTTTCTAAAGTTAATTAAAATTAGTCACTCAACAACCTCACAATTTCAAAAATCAAAATACAGCAAAGGGAAAAAAAATATCAATTTTCAATGAAGCTATTGGGAAGAACATAAACATAATCGTGAATGAGTTCACACTCTTGAACGTTACTTCTCACATATATAGCAGAAGAAAATCAATGGTTCTACTTGACACACACATAGATCCTCATTGTCTGAGAGAGAAAAGTCCATTACATAGGATGATCCATGAAACTAGGAATGTTCTTTCAACAAAATTGACGAAATCCACTGCTGTTGTATGCTGTTATTGTACGTTCTAGGATGGAAGGGCTGATCATATGTGTCAAATAGTCCCTTTATTTTGTTGGAGGAAACAGTATAATGAGTGAAAGAACACAGGGAAATAATATTACCTCCAGTCTGAATTATAAAAACTCATTTGTAGATTACAACGAGGTTCTATAATTAGGATTGAAGGTAGTACATGGTAAGTTTGTGGAGAATAAGCAAATTTATAATTTAGACTCCTAACATTTGTATCAAGTTTGAATTTGTGAATAAATTTGAGATTTTGTTTTAAAATAAAAGCTTCAATTTGATCACCTATTGGAAAATATACAAGCAATTAAATTTGAGAATAATTGTGTAAGGACAATAACGTCAATATATAACAGCTTTATTTCAATGTATACATATTTAATGAACAAAATTAATGTCAGATCATCGCATGATATATCAAAACCGAACCATGGTGACACTAACAAGACAATAAACTGGTTTCACTACACGCAGTTAAAAATTAGAGTGCTCTTTTTGTGAAGGATCAATTAAATTAAAAACTTTCTGCTAATTACCTACGTCAAATGATTTAATTATGTCGTTAACCTTGCTATAACAAATAATTTGCACTTTATTATTCAAGAGAAAAATCATAAAAAACTTTCACCACGGAAAACTCATAACAGAAATAATCGCATCACATATTGATATTGTAGTACTCTTCCGGTTTTTAATATAAGACCCATTTAACTAATTTGATTAAATTAAGAAAGTTAGTTAATTATAAGAAACGTGACACATTTTTCCTAAAACACCATAATCATTTTTTTTAATATCCATCTCCCTCTTCTATTTGATTATGGTTGAGGGAGTATCCATAGGGGTAATTTAGAGAAAACTGATAAATATAAGAAATGAGTCTTATATTTAGTATCAAAACTAACTCAACAATTACGTCTTATATTAAAGACCAGAGGAGTATTATATAACAGCTTGTAGTCATATAAAATCACATCAATGTTAGTACGTACGTGCAAATCATCATATCAATGCACTCTAAAACCATAAAGTAAACCAAAAGTACGTGAGGAAGCATCAAATCCTGAAACCTTATCCAATTAGTTATCATCAATATTATATAAGAACACCGCAATAGGGCTTCTCACTTGGTAGGTGCCATCATCCCAGACCAAAGAAGCAGAAGCTATGGAAGTTACAAATCCACTGACACTAACAGTAAACGACAGCTTCTGTCCCGAGGAAGTGAACGACAACCTTGGAGGATTTACTTGTATGTCGATTCCTTCCGGAGCAGTCAGAGTGGCCTCATATGTGGAAGTTGGTGACCCAACGTTTGTGACAGTCCTTTTGAAAAGTCGGGTATCGAATTCAGGAGAAGTAGTGGAGACAGCAAAAGAAGGGTAGTTTAAATCCCACACACTGCCATGAGTGACTCCAAAACAATTGTTACTTTCTCCAGTTACAACTTGAAGCAGTGAGTCATTGTAACCTTGTCCACATAGGAAGTTGATGTAGTCGGTTTCATTAGCATCGTATACTAAACCAGGATTTAGTGCCTTGGTTAGATTTATATGGCCAGACCCATATGCAAACTCAGCATCGTTCTTTAGAGATTTCAATGGTGTAGCTGTGATTTAAAAAAGATAAAGAAAAAAAATTCTGAGTGTAAACGGATCCATGGGAAAACATGTGTTTTGACAGTCCGTTACTTTTTCAAAAAGATCTTGTTTTTTTTTTTTTTTTTTTCCCGTGAATTAAAGATCTTGTCTTTTAGTATTGATCTGATGGCTATCATCGCACCACTTCATCATCTGCTCAGCAGGCCAAATAATATAGGGAAAAATCATTATTTGGTCTTAAGGAAGAAATGTAATTATCAAAAAGTCTCATGACAAGAGAATGGCAAGTTTGTGTAGCAAAATGACAATCACATCGATGCTGCTCATTTGTCATGGTTATATTTTTTTCCTCAGACTTCATAGTGGTTTCCCTAATAATATATGCCAAACTTGATCTATTTGCACCCTCGATATGCCATCTACTTACAGCATATTATGTGACATGACAACAACGATGAACATCTAATTAAAATGAACAAAGAAGTCTTTTATGAATACTCCATCTAATTTTAAATGTAGGATCTAGGTAACTGATTTAATTATAAAAATTAAAAAAATTAGTTAAATTAGTTATTTGTAAGAAAAATATGTTTATTTTTCTAAAATACCCCCTTTAATCATTTGCATTAATTGAAAGTTATCCCCGATTGATTCAAATCCCTTTAATATATGCAATTAACATGGATAATTTAAGAAAATATTGATAATTTGATATACAAAGTTGGATTAGGTCTTAAATTTATTATTGAAACAAGCCCCTAAACTAAATCCTACATTTTGGGATCAGATGGAGTACATTAAATTAGATACTATACAATGGATAACATGGAACCAAAAGAATAGCATAGAAGAAAACTTCTTAGTTGGGCCGAGTCAATTATAAATCAAGCTGGACAAGAGTAATGAATAATCACATACACACACACCTGTGGTCATAATAGCAGACTTGATTGCTGCAGGAGACCAAGAAGGATGGAAGGATTTGATGTTAGCAGCTAACGCAGTAACATGAGGGCATGCCATTGATGTCCCTGGATCGAAAAAATATTCTAGTTGTCTTTTGTCTCCTTTCACTGCAGAAGGAGGTGAATTTGGAGACCATGCAGCCAAAATATCAGATCCTGGTGCTGCTATGTCTGGCTCTATTTTATTATGGTATAATCCAAAATTATTGTTTCAAACCAGCAAGTTAGTCCACATAGTTATTACATGAATCTATATCACTCAAAAAGTACTTAAAGCAAGTAAAGAAGTCAATTTACTTTGAGAATGTCAAGTGTAATCAGGTTGGAACCCCTGGAGGAAAAAGAGGCTACAAAAGGAGCTAAGTATTGTTGAAATGGCTGCTCTTCAACATGGCTGCAGTTATGTTGTTGCAGTTTCTGTCGTTCGTTTCAAAAATTTATGCATATTAGGGTTTGCTAATGGAAAAGAACAAGTCGTCTTTGTCAATCCCTTCAAAAAATACTTTTGTGCTTTATGAGACAAAAAAGGTTCGCATATGTATCTTGCACCACACGAAGTCAATTAAACGTTCGTTAAACTAAAAAACAATAGGTTTGTGAGATGGTGGAAATTCTGTTACTTCATCTAGGGCACGAGGCGTAAGATATCACCATTCACTAGATTAACGATAGATGCTGGCAAGGCAAAAGCAAAGGTAATATCAAGAAGTTCTCCTTTAAAATTTATTGAGACTCCAGTAGAACCAGAGGCAAGTCCAATTTATTGGGGTAAATAATAGCCATCACAAACAACTATTTTTCCCTTCACTAAATTCTGGTCCATTGAGTCTCTTAAGCAAAGCCTGCGCCAAATATACTTTATTTTAAGTAGTTATACAGACAAGGGAGAAGGGGCCTTGTGAGATTCAGATCAATGAGTCTGGAGTACCTAGATATAGAGCTATTATACCCTTCAAGGGTGTTAGGCACATGCCCACGATAGACTACTGCATACTGAATATTATTCAAGTCAAAGGTATTTAATGAATTTCCCTGTAAAAATCACAACAACTGTCACACTCATTGTCAAGTAAACATGAAACTCCTCATCATTTCAAAAAGGGGTATTCACATAATGAAAGGTTAAATGACTTAATATTCCTTTAGTTTTATTTGTAAGACATTTTCTACATGTTTGCTCAAAACAAAAAAGAAAAAATGACAAACAATACTTTTGAAAACACTGAATCACAAATGAAGGAGGTTGAATTTCAAAATACTAAATCCAACCCCTTGTGCTATTTTGAAACTTTTGAATGTTGCAAAATGATGCCATTGTACCTACCCGATCAGTGATTACTCTTGTTTAGCTATTGACTGTATTTAGTTTCATTATCAGCTACTTTTGTTTTTAGAGCTTCGATGACAACTTGTGTTTAGCGATTGGCTATTCTAGTTTTGTTTTGACTACTTTTGTTTCTAAACCTCCGGTGACTATTTATTATTCTAGTTTTATTATTGACTACTCTTGTTTTGCAATAGTAGTAACTAAAGCTCTTAATTCTTTTTTGAATTCTTGGAATAAAAGTTGCCCACAATGATACTAGAAGTAAATAGCCAAATGAGAGTAATCACTAGATTTGTTGAAACAAAAGTAGTTAATAGCAAAACTAGAGCAATCAATAGCTAAACATGAATAGTTGTTGAATCTTTCCAAACAAACATAATTAATAATTAAACAAGGACAGTCACTAGAATTAGCTGCCAGAGGAGTAACTGTCGTCGAAGCTCTCACAGTTGGCCTCCTTAGGTGGCATTTTAAGAAAGAAAGGGGAAAAAAACGAAAGTGAGGTGAGTAGCATCATTTCACAACATTTTGAAAATACTAAATTGGTTCAACTATACTAATTTGGCCTGGTATTTTAAAATTCAGCCTCCTAAATTTGGCATTTAGCATTTTTTTAAAGGTATTTTTTTTCATTTTTCCATTAAAAAAACCCAAAACCAATTAATTTTGTATTAGAATTTAGTCTCATTTCAACTTTATTTCTATTTAATATACACTTTTAAGAAAATAACAACATATATATAAAAACAAATCAATGGGTAAAATTGTGCATTTGTGAAGTGATTTATATTAAGAGCAAAAAAAAAAAAAACCTTTTCTCTCTCTGCTTATAAATAAAACCAGAGGAATATCTTGTATATCGGTGAGAATTAAGTATTTTTAAATTTTCTAAAGTTCAAACGCAGGAATAAGAAATCATGTTGGTATCAGACACGGAAAACAAAGGCGATTTAAATTTACCTCAAGAACAATATCATCCCCAAATTTAATCTTGGTGAGGAACTCTCTATCAATGGTAGTGGCAGCCACACAAAGAGACCAAGGAGCCACATTACGCATGGTCGTAAGTTTGGGGCCACCGTTGCCAGCAGAAGCTGAGGTCAAGATCCCATGTTTCATCGCATGAAAAGCTCCAATCGCAACAACATCATTGAAATAATGATGAGCTAATGTACTTCCAAGTGAGGCAGAGATTATGTCAACCCCATCAGCGATTGCTTCATCGAAAGCTGCAAGAATGTCTGCATCTCGACATCCATCGGACCGACAAACCTTGTACACTGCTATTCTTGCTGATGGCACACCTTCTCTTGCTGTTCCTAAGCCCAGACCATAGAAGCTTGCTGAGCTCACAGCTCCACCAGCAGCTGTTGATGCAGTGTGTGTTCCATGGCCTCTAGAATCTATTGGAGACATTATATCATTTTTACCAAATTTTTTGTCACTTCGGAAATATTTTGCCCCAGTGATCTTACTGCACACAATTTAATTTTGAAACTAAATACTTAATAGATATGTTCCACGAAAATATAACGAAGATGCCTTCTTGTTGAAACATATATGTGGTGAGGCTCGCGTTATATGTGTGCCCACTCATATTATGTAAATATCTTTCTACTTGCAGCAACAAGAATAGGTCGGTAGAATCCACCTGACATATAAGATCCACCCACTTTTTAATATGTCTTTCTCTCTCCTTTTAGCAACACAAAATTGTTAGCATATATAACGTATACCAGACAAGCAGTTAATAAAAATTCCTTTTTGAGCCAACATGAAAATGCATTTGTAGTAATAGAAGAAGCTGCCTTGCTGTTCAGGCATAAGGAGAAATTCTGATTCCATCTCTATGTAAGGAGATAGACATTTGTGGTGGGTGAGACTCAACCTAATGTGCAGGCCCATCCGTCTTACATATCTATCTCACTACTTGTAATAATAAAGAATTAGTGGGCGGAGTCCACCCTATCTATACCTCTTCTTACAACACTATGTTGTAACAACAGATAATTAGGGTTCATAAAATTAAGAGGCACATATATAGAGTATGAATGAAAATTTCCCAATGATCAGCCAACATGAATATGATATGAGAAGAGTTTTCAAATGTAAAGAAATAGATATGGGAAGGTACTTGTTGCAAGTGATATTATAGCAGGATCCCTTCCATTTAGGGGGTGGAGGACCAAATCCAGAGTCATTAAAGCTTGGGTAGTCAGGCCAGATTCCAGAGTCAATTACTCCTATTATTATATCGCTCTCTGTGCTTGATCTTTCCACTTTTTCTGGAAATCCTATGAAGTCCCATGATCTTGTAGCGTGTAGATGCTTCTTTTCATTTGGGAATATAGCAATCACTCCTTCCATTGCTAAAAACTCAGAAAATTGACTATCAGAATCCATTACAGAGAATAAAAATCAAATTACATCCCAGTTTTGATGATGACTCAGTTTGATATTGGACATCACTGGCAATGTTATGAATGCTGGATTAAGTCTCTCTTTTAGTTCTTTAATCAAGCCAACAGATTATGTTTCGAATTAAAGTTTTTGACATATAAATATCTAAATCTAGTTTAATTCACTATGTGATTTTTAGTTACCAGCAAACTTTTTGAACATCTTCTTTCTTGAGCGCCGCAACGAACCCTTTGATAGACCTCTTGTAGCTGTGTACAAGAGCATTTGCTGTTCCATCACTAACACATAACATTTGAAATGTAATGTACAAAAAACCATTTGAAACTTCACTCTTATAAATACGCACACAGATATCCTTCCTTTTGTGGCTGAGGTGAGAATTAGTTGGGGGATAGATTTGGTTGTAAATAGAAAAACTCAATCCATTTTGTCCCTGATATTCATTGCTCGCAAACTAATTTAGTTAATCACTTATAAACTAATGTATAATCTAAAGTTAGTTAGATATTCTTTGGGAGATCAGGTCATGTTTATTATAATTAACTTATTTATCTAATTTATTTAATTTACCTAAATTAGTTAAGTACTTTTTATACTAGGGATCAGAAGGAGTATATTAATTGGTCCATAAATATATTTAAATACATACCTGCCAAGGGCTTGTTGGAGGATCCTCATGTGAAGCATTGACTTGGGGGCATCACGAATTGGAGGACTCCTGACATATACTAGATAACTCTGCATCACCAAATAGATTACTATAAAATTTATAACGACAAGAAAAGTATTCAGATATACTACTAAAAGGAAAAGTGAAACTCATCATATATGTATGTATGTATTGCAAGGATCATCACTTAATTTTTGTTTCTCTCCATGAATAATCTATAGGGAAAATTTTGAAGGAAAAAAACTTGAAGTGTTACTGAATTTACAATGTTATCCTTTTTTGTTAAAAAAAAAAAAGCCTCAGGTCACCCTCTTTGGCCAGCTGGCTGCCAATACCAGAGTTCAGGTGGGTCGCCAATCATAGGAGCTTTGACGATTGGCTGTCGAACCTCCGACAGCCGACAACTATTCTTTTTGAAATTTTGCAACATTTGTAATGTAATTAATAATTTTCATAATGATATTCACAACTTCATTAATATCATTAACCACATGTTTTTCATGTTTTTAAAATGAAATTTTTTCAACATTTATAATATAATTAATAACTGTTATAATAACATTCATAACTCTATTAACGCCATTAATTAACCACATGTTTTTCAAGTTTTTAAACTAAAAATCTTTTTAACATTTGTACATCACATTATTAACAACTTTTATAATAATATTCATAACTCTATTAATGTCGCTAACTACTTTATATGATAGAGTTTTAAATTAATATTATTAATTTAATAAAATAAATGCATATTAAGTACTCCCTCCGTTCCTTATTATAAGAGACAAATAACCGAAATACGTTGATAAAAAAAACAGTTAAAATTAGTTAAGAATAATTAATGTGTAAAAAGTATAATTTTTTTTCTAAAAATACCCTCATTAATAAGCAGAGAGAACATGAAGAGAATAATTAAATTATTAAAAGAAAGAGAAGTGGAGGGAGAGAGAGTGTGAGTTGGAGATAATAAATATGGGTAAAATAGGAAATCAACACAAAAAAGTAGAGACAACTTTTAAGTGTCTCTTATATATAGGAACATACTATAAGCATCAAATGTCTCTTATAATAAGGAACGGAGGGAGTATATCATAGTTTGGCAAGATTCCTATTCTCCTAATTTCCCCTAGTTTAAAAACATATCATGTAAAATGGTTAATAACATTAATAGAGTTGTGAATATTATTATAAAAGTTGTTAATTACATTAAAAATGTTGAAAAAAATATTTTAAAAACCTAAAAACATGTGGTTAATTGAGTTATGAAAATTGTTATATAAGATGTTAATCACATTATGAATATTGAAAAAAGGTTAAAACAAAAGTCACCAGTTGTCAAAGCTCCAACAACCGATCATCAGTCAGCCACCAAAGCTTTGATGCCGACACTAGTTGCTAGCCGGCCAATGAGAGTGACTTGCACGGCTTTAAAAAAATAAATAAAATATTGTAAATTTATCAAAATTTCAAAATTTTGAATTAGTCATTTTGGCTAATTTAGAATTTGTTAAATTCAAGTGATCTTTTCTAGTTTTTGAAATTCAACTATTTTTTTTGGGAATTTTCCCTAATCCATAACTGTCTAGCTAATATGAAAAGCATAAGGATATAGATATAGCAAATGAGTAAGTAAAATCTTAAAAGTGATATATGACAGACATATTTGCCTTTGTGTTTTCCTGAGAATCTGCATCAATTGTGAGAAACATGGCTATGAGGGTAATAAGAAGAATCAACCAACATGGAGACATTGTGCCTGCCATTGAAGAGATCAGATTAAAGCTTGTGGTATAAGGGGAAATATAAATATATATTTATTTATTTACACACACAGATACCGCCAAATATAAACCTGAAGAGGCAATTTTGACTCCTCAATGTATTAAAAAGACGAACAAGAATGCATTTAGTGAAGACAGTACAGGCATGCGACTCTCTATTTTTATCAAAATATTTGTAATAACTCTTTTACAGATGAAATTTGATGCAAACAAAAGGACACTTTCCTTTGATGAAATATTGAAAAGAATATTTATTTTTGTTTTAGATTCCTGAAAACACGACGGAAAGCTTTCCCTCCATTATTACACTTCTCAGCTATTAGTTGATTTTTGAGTAGTCCAAATTTTATATTTTACAAAATTATAAAAAATAAACAAACCTAAGTTGCTAAAGTTTAATATAAACATTTAGAATTGCAGTGCAAAAAATGTAAAAAATTGATCCCATGATTGAAATATGTAGTAGAAATAAAGGACATGGATGAAAAATAGTTTAAAAAATGAAGATAACTAATACTTTTATTTGGGAGAACTTTTTGAAAAAAGCAATTTTTTTAATGTTTATTTTTTCTTAAAGAGAGAAGCCGAATTGTTTACCAATTACCATGGCACACAACAAGTTGTGATGATTTTGAGTTAAAAGACCAACTTACGACCTTTGGTTCTAGTTAGTTGGTCAAATTGTCCAAGAGGACAAGGTTTTGTTATTATTGTAAGTTTTTCTAATATACACCAAAGGAAATATCCATGTTAATTTAACTTAATTATAAAAAAAAATTCAGCAAGAACAACTACCTCTCTCAACCCCAAACAATAATACTACATTCTTTGTTGTAAGATATAAGGTGATTAGATGCTATAAATACAAAAGATACAATTTATTCTTTAAAATACGCTTGTTTATGAAGAGTGAATAGATCGTTAATGCAATGCACTAGTTAATAATTAATGGAGATAAAAATAAAAATAACACTAAAAATTTTAAATAAGCTATTAATGTCTTTCATGCATAGAGTCAGGAGAGTAAAAATAAAAAGAGCATGAGAAAGTAATAAGCCAATAGAGAAGAGCTCGACGAAATTAGACTTTTCTCCATTTATTGTTAGCTAGAAGAAAACTTTCATGTGGCAGCCGTACAATGGAATATACTCATCGTTACTTCAAGAAATACATTTCTTATTATTGTGAATATTGTGATAATAATTTTTTCTTCCAAGTTAATTTTGTAATCTCCATGATCTTTGAATTGAATTTACCTTTCATTAAATACAAATTCAAGATGAACAAACATTTTCATTATCCCGAATGAGTTCACAACCTCGAACGTTACTTCTCACAAATAAATTTGCAGAGAAAGAGAAAATTCATTATGTAGACTCCTAAGATCTGTATCTAGCAGTTTGAATTTGCAGATATATAAAATAAAAGCTTCAATTTGATTTTAACACACACACACACACACACACACACACAAAAGCAATAATTAACTTTAAGAATAATGTGTGAGGCTAAATAATGTCGTCGCATGGTATCAAAACCGAACGATGGTGACAATAATAAGACAAAAAACCGGTTTCACTACACACACACACACACAGAGTTGAAAATTAGTGCGCATTTTATGAAGGATCAATTGAAAACTTTCTGTTAATTACCTTGCTGTAACAGAAATAATTTGCATTTTATTTAGGGGAGAAAGCATAGAAAATTTCATTATAAAGAACTCAGAAGAGAAACGATCACTTCTATCACGGATTAATATTGGAGAATTATATGACATCTTGCAGCCATATACTACATATAAAATCACATCAACGTTCGTGGAAAAAATCACAAGACCGTACCAATGCACATTAAACCATAAAATAAACCAAAAGTACACATCGAAGCATCAAATCCTGAAACCTTCAACTTAATTATCATCAACATAATATAAAAACACTGCAATAGGGCTTCTCACTTGGTAGGTGCCATCATTCCAGACCAAAGAAGCAGAAGCTAAGGAAGTTACAAATCCACTGACACTAACAGTAAACGACAGCTTCTGTCCCAAGGAACTGAACGACAACCTTGGAGGGTTCACTTGTATGTCGATTCCTTCTGGAGCACTCACAGTGGCTTCGTATGTGGAAGTTGGTGACCCAACATTGGTGACAGTCCTTGTGAAAACTCGGGTATCGAATTCAGTAGAAGTAGTGGAGACGGCAAAAGAAGGGTAGTTTAAATCCCACACACTGCCATGGGTGACTCCAGAACAAGTTTTGCTTTCTCCGGTTACAACTTGAAGCAATGTGTCATTGTAACCTTGTCCACATAGGAAGTTGATGTAGTCGGTTTCATTAGCATCGTATACCAAACCAGGATTTAGTGCCTTGGTTGGATTTATATGGCCAGATCCATATGCAAACTCAGCATCATTCTTTAGAGACTCCAATGGTGTAGCTGTGATTTTTTTTCAAAAGAAAATTATGAGTCCAAAGGAATCCGTGGGAAAACATGTGTTTTGACAGTCCCTTATTTTTGTCAAAATTAAAGGATCTTGTCTTTCAGTATTGATGTAACGGCTATAATCACCCCACTTTATCATTTGCTCAAGAAGCCTAATAATGTAGGGAAAATCACTATGTAGTTCTAAAGAAGGAATGTAATGATCAAAAAGTCCCATAACAAGTTAATAACAAGTTTGTATAGAAAAATGACAACAAGATCCTTGCTACTCACTTATGATTAAGAATCTTTGGCGGTGACATTTTTTGCTTGGACCTCATAATGATTTCCTCAAAAACATACGCCAAGGCCTATTTAGCTAAGGCTTTGTCTAGCAGGCTAATCTTGATCTACTTTCACCCTTAATATATATGCCATCTAATAACAGCATATTATGTGACATGACAATAACCATCTAATTAAAAACAAATAAGACTATATTGACTACTTCCTCTAATTCTAAATGTAGGATCTAGATAACTAATAAAAATTAGGATAAAATTAGTTAATTAAATCAGTCATTTGTAAGAAAAAACCTGTTGACTTTCCTAAAATACGCGTTTTACCCATTTGCGTTAATTGGAAGTTATCCCCATTAATGTAAACCCCTTTCATATATACAATTAATAGGAATAGTTTACTGAAAATCTTATAGACAAAGTGGATTAGTTCTTAAATTTATGATTGAAACAAACCCTTCAACTACATCCAAGGAGACGGAGTGCATTAAATTAGATACTATACCATCGATAACATGCAACCAAATGAAAGGCATAGAAGAGATCTTCTTAGGTGGGCCAAGTAAATTATAAATCAATGTGAACAAGAGTAATGAATAATTATCTATATACCTGTGGTCATAATTGCAGACTTGACTGCTGCAGGAGACCAAGAAGGGTGGAAGGATTTGATGTAAGCAGCTACCGCAGTAACATGAGGGCATGCCATTGATGTCCCTGAAGCGATAGAATAATCTACTTGTCTTATGTCTCCTTTTACTCCAGAAGGAGGCGAACTTGGAGACCACGCAGCCAAAATATTTGATCCCGGTGCTGCTATATCCGGCTATATATTTATTGATATTATACAAAATTGTTGTTTCAAACCGCAAAGTGTTAGTCCACATAGTTATCGCATCAATCTTTATCACTCAAAAAGTATATCAAGTAGGAAAGAAGTCAATTTACTTTGAGAATGTCAAGTGTAACTAGGTTGGGACCCCTTGAAGAAAAGGAGGCTACAACAGGAGCTAAAGTATTGTTGGCCTGGCTGCTCTTCAATATGGTTGCAGTTATGTTGTGGCCGATTCTGTGATGTGTTTCAAAGTTTGTAAATATTAGGGCTTGCTAATTGAAAAGAATAAGGGGTGTTTGTCAAGCCGTTCAAAATTACTTCTGCGCTTTATAAAACAAAAATCTTTTCACGTATTTACACGAAATCAATTAAAAGTAATGTTAAACTTAAAAATAATAGGTTCGTGAGATGGTAGAAATCTCATTACCTAATCCCAATCATGTGGCGTAAGATGTCACTATTCACTGGATTGACGATGGATGCTGGCAAGGCAAAAGCAAAACTAATATCAGGAAGTTCTCCTTGAAAATTTATTATGACTCCAGTAGAACCAGATGCAAGTCCAATTTTTTTAGGTCCATAATGGCCATCACAAACAACTATTTTCCCTTTCACTAAATTCTGGTCCATTGAGTCTTCTAAGCAAAGCCTGCACCAAATTTAATGTATACTTTATTTCAAGTAATTATAGATAAAAGAGAAGAGGCCTATTAGACTCACAAAAATGAGTAAGAAGTACCTGGATATAGAGCTATTATAGCCTTTAAGGGTGTTTGGTACATCCCCACCATAGACCAGAGGATACTTAGTGTTATTCAAGTCAAAGGTATTTATTGAACTTCCCTGCAAAAATAGCAACTATCGTCACTGTTGTGTTAAAAAAAGAAAAAGAAAAAGAAAAAGGGCATTCACAGAATGAAAAGTTAAATAAATTAATATTCCTTTAGTCTTCTTTATAAAGTATTACCACTTGCAACATGTTTCATCAAGGCAAAAAGAACCTCAAAACTTTGTTCATTTTGCATTAAAATTTAATAAAATTTCAACTTTATCTATATTTACTGTATATACACTTTTTCAAAAAAAATAATAATATACAAAACAATAAATTAGGAATAAAATTGTGCATTCACGAGGTGATTTATATTAAAGACAAAAAAAAAATCTATCTTTGCTTATAAATAGGACCAGGGGAGTGTCTTGCATATGAAAGGGAATTAAATATTTTAAAATTTTCTAAAGTTAAAACACAGGATAAAAAATCATGTTGATATCATAAATGAAAAACAAAAGTCTTTTAAATTTACCTCAAAAACCGTATCATCCCCAAACTGAATTTTGGTGAGGAACTTTCTATCCATGGTAGTGGCAGCCACAGAAAGAGTCCAAGGAGCCACACTAATGGTGGTCGTAAGTTTGGGACCATCGTTGCCGGCAGAAGTGGAGGTCAAGATCCCATTTTTCATAGCATGAAAAGCTCCAATGGCAATTGAATCACTGAAATAATGTTGAATTGATTGACCTCCAAGTGAGACAGAGATTATGTCGACCCCATCAGAGATTGCTTCATCAAAAGCTGCAAGAATGTCTGCGTCTTGACATCCATCGGACCAACAAACCTTGTACGCTGCTATTCTTGCTGATGGCACACCTCCTCTTGCTGTTCCGAATCCCAGACCATAAAAGCTTGCTGAGCTCACTAACCCACCAGCAGCTGTTGACGCAGTGTGTGTTCCATGGCCTTTAGAATCTATTGGCGATATGATATCATTTTCACCAAATGTTCTGTCACTTCGGAAATATTTTGCTCCAATGATTTTACTGCACACATTTTAAGTTTGATCACAAATAGTTATAATAGATATATACCATATTATGAATATGACGTGAGATGATGTGTGAAATATAAGAGTTTCCCAACGTAAAGAAATAGACATGGAAAAGTACTTGTTGCAAGTGATATTATAGCAGGATCCCTTCCATTTGGAGGGTGGGGGACCAAGTCCAGAGTCATTGAAGCTGGGGGAGTCAGGCCAGATTCCAGAGTCAAGTATTCCTATTATTATATCACTTTCTGTTCTTGATCTTTCCACTTTTTCTGGAAATCCTATGAAGTCCCATGATCTTGTAGTGTGCAGATGTTTCTTTCCATTTGGGAACACGGCAACCACTCCTTCCATTGCTGATGACAACCCAAAGGGAGTTGATTATTAGAATACATTACAGAGAATAAAAATTGAACTACATCCTGGTTATTGAACATTTGCAATATTATATATACTGGATTAAGTCTCTGTTTTAGCTCTTGATCAATCAAGCCAACAGATTATGTTTCAAATAAAAGGGGACAACGTGACAAAGTTTTTGACACAAAAGATCTGGATCTAGTTTATTATGTGGTAATTTATTACCAGCAACTTTCTGAACATCTTCTTCCTTGAGCGTCGCAACGAACCCGTTGATACACCTCTTGTAGCTGTGTACAAGAGCATTTGCTGCTCCATCACTGACCGCACACAACATTTGAAATGTAATGTACCCAAAAAAAAAAAATTTGAATCTTTTCTCTTTACTTCCTCTTGTCGGGAAAATGGGAGTATGTTAATTACTCCATAAATATATTTATATACATATATACCTGCCAAGGGCTTGTTGGAGCATGCTCATGTGAAGCATTGACTTGGGGGCATCACCACTTGAAGGGCTCCTCATATACACTATATAACTCTGCATCAACAAGCAGATTAGTAGAAAATTTATAACGACAAGAAACGTATTCAGATATACTGCTGAAAGAGGCGTATTCGAACCAAATGCATTTGGAATAAACTTGTTTCTTGGTCTCACATAGAAAATTCAGATTCTTTATAATCGCAAATCATTACAGTCAGAAAGGCAAAAAGAGATGGGAAAAGAAACTGATAGATATATATTAGGGGGGTGGGAGTGAAACTTATCATATAAATATACTTGTACAGATCCCTGTACTTCTTTTGTTTCTCTCCTTGAACAATCCATGTAAACGTCTAATTTGCAAAGCACACAGATACAGATCATCTAGCTAATGACGAAGTATAATCTTAAAAGTGATGATAGAGAGATATTTGCCTTTGTGTTTTCCTGAGGATCTGCATCAGTTGTCAGAAGCTTGGCTATGAGGGCAATAATAAGAATCAACCAACATGAAGACATTGTGCCTAACGTTGAAGAGATCTTGGACCAAAACTGGTAGTAAGCATATAGAGTAGTACTGAGGTTGGAAGGACTCGCCAACGTGTGTGTGTGCAGAATTAATATATACGAACGAATATAAACCAGAAGGGGCAATTTTGAGTACTGCAAGTATTGAAAAGGCGTTGAAGATTGCATTTATAATATTAACTTGGTTATGAAACGAAGACAGTACTACACGCATGCGACTATCCATTTTTTTCAAAATATTTGCATTAACTCTTTTACAGATGAAATTTGCTGTTAGCAAAAAGACACTTTCCTGTTTGATATCGATCAGCATTTTGAGAATATTTATATTATGGTTTTAAATTACTAAAACGCAACCGAAAGCTTTCCCTCCATTTCACATATCTCGACCTCTTTGGTTAAATTTTGAGCGGTCTATATTTTATATTTTACAAAATTATTATTATAATATAAATTATTAAAAAAAAAGTAAATCTAAACTGCTGAAACTCCATCTAAACAATTTAAAATTGCAGTAAAATTTTTTTTTTTTAAAGAAAAAGTTGATCCTAGGGTCGAAAAGCGCAGTAGAAAGGAAATGGAGGGGAACTTAAAAATGGAGAGAAGTCAATTCTCTCTAAGATGATAGATGAAAAATAGTCTACGAAATGAAGATAATTAATAATTTTAATTGGGAGAACTTTTTTAAAAAACAATTTTTAATGTTTACTTTTTTTTCCCTTAAAGGAGAAGCCCGAATCATTTGCCATGATACAAGTTATAATGACTTTGATTGAAAAAACGATTTCTGACCTTTAGTTCTAGCTGGTTGGTCAAATTATCAAAAGGACGAGGGATTATTATTATTGAGTTTTTTTTTAAATACACCAAAGGACATATATCCATGTTAATTTAACTTTAAAAAAGGAAAAGTCATCATTATCCTTCTATTGGAAGCAACCATATTCATGTCATTGTTAGATATCCGTTCCTTATTATAAGAGACATTTGATGTTTATGGCATGTTCCTATATATAAGAGACACTTACAAGTTGTCTCTACTTTTTTGTATTGATTTACTATTTTACCCATATTTATTATTTCCAACTCACACTCTCTCTCCCTTCCACTTCTCTTTCTTTTAATAATTTAATTGTTCTCTTTCATGTTCTCTCTCCTTATTAATGAGGGCATTTTTAGAAAAAAAATTATACTTTTTACACATTAATTGTTCTTAACTAATTTTAACTGTTTTTTGATCAACGTACTTCGGTTATTTGTCTCTTATAAAGGAACGGAGGGAGTATTAAATGTGAGTAACTCTCTCCTAGTAGATATTCAAACATTTATTAGTCATGTCATAAAGAACTAGCTCCTTCCATCAAATCCAACCTGTTAGTTTTTAGTTAATTTTATAAAACCTTTTAGAATTTAATTTATAACAAGCCGGCTGAATTAATAACTGAAAATTTGCTGCCATTAATGATGATTAATTAAACATCCAATACCCAATCCAAATCCAAACTAAAAGACCTAAAACATATTATTCTATTAACTTCTGTGAGTAGAAACGGACATCATAACTGAAATAAATTCATCTGGTCTCTAATTGAATTCTCCTTTCATTCAATCAGTGACTGCGCAAACCATATCAGTGAATTACTATCAACAAAGCTAACTGTATACATGTATAAATATAAGAACATAATTTAATAATTTAAAATGAGAAAATTTTCATTGACATATTGTTTCTTCGTCAAGTGCAATGCACATGTATGGATTCTTTAATTAGTAACTACATATAGGCGGTCAAATTAATTAATGTATTTAACTGTTTTCCTAAGAAAAATATATCTATTATGAAAATAAAAGAAAATACTCAGCAAGAGTAAGAAAGAGTTATTATAGAATGGAGAAAAGAATTGGAGAGAGAATAAATGAAAGAGAATACTTTTCATTCACTTTCAAGTGTCAATTACATGTACAGGCCTCTATTAAAAAAACAACCATACAATTAATGATGCGTAATATATGAAATATAGTGGGACATAATGAAGATATAAATTGCATGAACGTAAGTAGGGAAATAAATTACAAGACTCCGGGGTTACACATCCTTTGAGGATTTTGAAGAGACGTGGAGAGATGCATATGGACGTCTACGCAAAATATTTTATTCATATTTAGATTGGATGTTCATGACTAAATATGTGCCTCATAAAGAAACCTTAATAGGAAAAACTTAATGGGATAAAAACATAATAATAAACGAGTACACAATACTTCTCTAAGCTGCCTTGTAAAAAAAAAAACAAGAAGAAGAAACAAAATTGCTTAAAAAGCCCATGGGAAACATACGGCATTTCAGGATTAATAGATTCATTAGTTTTAGTACATAATAATGAGCTTAAAAAGAACACTACACTTCTTGTGGTCCCAAAAAAAAAAAAAACACTACACTTCGAGTACACATGCTATATTTATAAAACATTATAATATTACTCATTTAAATGAAGGTGGATCTCACAGAAAACTCAGTTGGTTAGGCATTAAATTTCTCTTTCATTTAAGTTGAGCAAGACACAATTGAACTGAAATTGAGTGAATTGAAATGAAAATCAAATAATCAAAGATTTATCAAATTTCAAATAAACAAAGATTTATCAAATTAACTAGAGCAAAAATAAAAAAGGACAACTTAGAGTTATTACTCCCTTACCAGCCTCTCAAAACTTGTTTCCACTTAATTAATTAACTCTAATGTCAATTTTGATAATCTAAAGTTCAGCTAGCTATAAATACCTGTTGGACCACTTATACCCCCACTCAAATATAAAATATTATCTCTAGCGCAATTACCCTAGAGGTTAAACCATTTTATCACGTTTATCAACAATTTTATGGGGTAATTAGATATATTTCTATCATAATTACAAATTAGATGGCAATTCAATCCCATAGTACTTAATCTAGGAGCTTAATTGAAATTTCTGTTGTCAAGTTAAATCTTAATCCTCAATTTCGTACTTATTGGTAGCTAGTCATTAAACGGAGAATAAAGGAATAAGATTAAGTAATCAAAATAACATTAAGCATCCTTGGTCAGTGAAAACAAAATTCAATTAACTAACAAGTTTATAGATCGTCTAGGCTGCAAAAGCAAACTAGCCACACATGCTCAAAATCAAATCTATCTCAACAACAACAGGTTCAGCATCAAAAACCATGGAAAAAGAACAAGAAAAGAGAATCACAACAGTATGATAATCCTTTTTCCTTCCAGCAATCCTTGCTGTCGGTTGAATCAAATTTCCACAGTGACTGACTCGACGAGAATTAGAGAAACAAACACAGCACTCACCCCCAGCTCTCCTCCCATCTTTGCCGAAGAAGAAGAACAGGAAAGCTCAAGGCATCCTCCACCTCTGGTCCAGCCTCCGTCGAACAAGAGACAGAAGAAGGCGTCCTCTCCCTCTAAGATCTCTCTAAGACGATGAACCGGTACCCTTTTCTCTCCTCTCTCCTTGAACCAGTTCGGCGTCTCCTTCCGGCAGAAGAAGAAGTGATGAACAGTTCCCAGCTCGATGAACAGTGAAGCTGCCTCCACTTGATGAGCAGTAACTCGACGGAAAACCATCAGCTCCTCTTCCAATCCAAACGCTGTCGTCTTTGTGGCTGCTGCCTGATTGATTTTGAGGTTCCAAAGACTCCCTCAAACGGTGTCGCCGAAGCTGCTGCGCGGACCGGGGGGGGGGGGGGAATAAACTGCAAATAAAAGTAAAGGAAATGGAAAGGAAATATAATAAAGGGAGAATTACAATCAATTTTTACAGAAGAGAAATAATTATCAAAAAGTCCTAATAACAATTTCAACAGTTTATAATGACAAGTCTTATAGTGAGAATGATAATCTCTAGGACTTGTTTTTCAATTATTTTCCTTATTTGGGACCTTATTATAATTCTCCTTATAATAAATTGATGTTAAATTTCCAAGGCTACACTACTTTCTCTAATTAACTCTTAAAAACATCTCAATCTGTTTTTGTCCAAAATATAAGACTCCAGTCTACTTTATTTTCATTATTTATTCATTTTGTCTTCAAGTAATTTCTATAGTGGTTACACATGCTAAGTAGTCACTATCAATGGGTATTTCAAGTACACATTATTAATAAGAATATTTTAAGAAAGATAACATCTATGTATTACAAATAATGAACTTAATTAATTTTTTTAATCTTCCTAAATTAATTAATTATGTTTTATATTAAGTACTGGAGATAGTTTATTGATAGCTGTCCAATATATACTCAAAATGGTCTTAAATCTATCAATTGAAAATGGTGAGCTATTATGCATCCTTTTCTTTTGTATCCGGCAACGATCTTTTTGTTTATATCTATTGATGGATTTTTATACAAGATCCTTTGTTTGCAACTTTATCTTTTTATTTCAATTTTTTTGGGACATACTTTAAATTGAAATCTTTTTATTATTTTAAGGTACTTAAACCTTTTATATAGGGGTCTTACAGACAATTATGTCTTAGTC